CACCCTGAAAACAAACAAACAGCCTGTAACAAACAAACTGTGACACACACACACACACACACACACACACACACACACACACACACACACACACACACACACACACACACACACACACACACACACACACACACACACACCAACTGTAACAAACTATAACAACTAGCATGTAACGGACAGACTGTCACAAACAACTAGCATGTAACAGACTGACTGTCACAAACAACCAGCCTGTAACAGACTGACTGTCACAAACAACCAGCCTGTAAAAGACTGTCACAAACAACCAGCCTGTAACAGACTGACTGTCACAAACAGATTGTAACAAACAGAAATCTGTCTCAACACACAGAAAACCAGCCTGTCACAGCCAAACTTTACAAACAGTCAGCAAGAATCACTCAAACACAGCCTGTGAGAAAAAAACAATCAACAGACACAACCCAGCAGCCAGCCTGTAACCAGAGCTTGACTTCCGAGACAAGTCGACAAACTTTGCTAGCCACAGCGCTAACTAGCATGCTACTAGCCGTTGCCGTCTGAAACCATGACACACCTGGCTAACTAGCTAGCCACTGCGGCTAACTAACTTATAAGTGCGAACAAGGTAAAAAAAACGCATCGTCATTAAATAAAAAAGGATTTTACAGTAAACGTGAGTGTGTTGATGCTGTTAGCTTTAGCACCAGAAGCTAACAGCCAGAGAAGAGGCCGAGGGTCAGACTAACCTGGAGGAGGAAATGTCTCGGTGAAAACCTGCTGGCAGCGACGGGAACTGATTATCTCCTCTTTTCCCAGTCCAACCCGTTAATGTCAAACACCCCGTCTTTCGGTGTCCTAAGTTAGCTGTTGATACAATTAGTTTAGTACACGTCAAATCACGGTTTAAAACGAAGCAGCCGAACCTGTCTGCTGCTCTGAGCTAACTAACTACTGACGTGACGTGACGTCCAGCTGGAGCCATGCGTCATGACGTAGGAAGCTTGGCAAAGATCGTCTCCATAAATGAGGGGGTCTCCGTACTGATACTTCATCCGGAAGATTTAGCATTTTAAAGGAATCAGAGTTACTTTATTTGTTCGGCAACGGGGAAATGCAGAGGTGGGAGAAGAACTCAGATAATATACTTGAGTAAAAGTAGAAGTACTATGATCTTGTACTTTTAAAAGTCCTTCAATCAAAATGTTACTCAAGTAAGTTCAATGCTAAAGTATCAGCATCAATGTTAAAGTAACGACAGTAAAAGTAGTCATTGTGCAGATTGGTCCATTTCAGAATAATATATATGATATGTTTTATAATGATTGATCATTAAAGTGTTCTCAAAGCTGGTAAAGGTGCAGCTAGTTTGAATGACTTTGTATACTGCAGGGTAGCTTGTGAATTTACTCCAGGTGGAACTAAAGTCTGATTTAACACTTGATTATATTTCACATCATTCATCCACATCTTTAAAGTAACAAAAGGTATTAAATACATGTAGTGGAGGAAAAGTACACCATTTAAGAGGGATTTATTCATTTTAAGAGTTCTGGCATAATGTATAACAACACAATGTACAGAATAACATTTTTCTTTGTTCTACTTTTTTACACCTTGGTATTCATTATTCATTTTGTCTGCATTTTGTTTGTTTTTAACTCCTTTGTACTGCAAGTAGTGCAATGACTTTTGGGGGAAGAAAATGCATAACAAATAAACAACAACATTCAACAACACAACAAAATGGACTTAATTTGCATGCATGATCATAAATCTCAAATTATTAATGTACAACATTTCTCAAACAGGAAGAAACGTTTTATTTATTTGTGTCTAATATAATAATGAATAACATATTTTACAAAATAAAAGTTGAATGAAGCTTATTGACCCAGCATGTATTTCTACACGTTTGTGACATGATAAGGTTTTTTTGGTTCACAGCAAAAGAGAGGAGGAAGACCTCTTCTTGATTAATAATAGATCTTTGAGTCGGGTTGAATTTCAACAACAGCAACAAAACCTGCCGCAGGTTTCCATTATAAAAAATACATCAGACACAACCTGCAGAACCGGAAAAACCGGGATCATTAGGGGTCAAAGGGCAAGACCAGGACACATTTTTTTGATCAGTCTGACTGAAATGATGCGGATCAGATTTGAACAAAACTGACTATTTTCTTATTTAAATAAATTCTTCTTCTTCTTCCCTTCTCCACCTCTTCCGTTCCTCCTCTTCCTCTGAACATAGTTAATAGGAACCTGGATACTTGCAGCAATATGTGTTTCAGTGTCGCCCTCTGGTGGCAGTTTGACCCTCCAGCATAACTATTTTCCACCTCTGCTTGTGTTTCCAGCTGCTGGGAAGTACAGCTGCACACACGGAAAGATGACTGAACAGGCTCAGGGGTCCAAAGAGTCAGGGATCCCTTTGGTTTTTGGCTGTGGAATTTGAACCATGTGCCAACAAGGAAGAAACAATAACGAAGAGACGCAAAAAACAGACATAGAGATACAAAAATACCACAAAGAGACATAAAAACACCTGAAATAGAACAACCAAAGAAGGCCTAGAAATGACCACAAAGAGACACAGTAACAGTAAAGTAAGTAACAAAAAGAGCTTTAAAACCACCACAAAAACCCAAATTAAACATCACACCTCAGAAATATACCATAAAGACTAGAGACACAAATGACCACAAAGAGACAGAGAACAACCACACATAGATTCAAAAATACCATGGAGAAAAAACAACTGTAAAGACACAATAGGACAATACAACACCACAAAAAAGCAAAGCAAACAGCCTACTGTGTGTCTTTCTCTCATGTAGCACATATCGTGGGGCAACATACTGTATGTGAGTTAACTGTTTAGTTTATTAAAAGCCACAGATTCCAATCTGACATTCTTATTACACAACACACCTGAATGTACCACCCATTTGTCGGCTCTCTACGTGCATTGTAGTCTAGCAGGAAGGGCCCCCAGATTTCGAGATACCCCTACCCGAGGTAGAACAAAATACAACAATGATTTTTCTTATCTTTAGGGTCTCCCATTAATGAAATTGATTGTTGTCAAATTTTATTTTGGGGGAAAAAAATTGTTTTTGGTTGTTCTTTAGAACTACCCCAATCCCTGAAAAAGAGCCAAATTAGACCAGGCCGAATACGGGAAAGGTGACCAAAAAGCCCATAACTTGAGAATGACCACTCTTTTCCTCTTCAGATTTGCTGAGGTATGAACCAGGTGGCTGGTTTTAACAAGGAAGAATAAAGTGTCAATATCTTTGGATGTACATTGACGTTCATGCCTTTTTAATTGTAAATAATGGGTCCAACAACTTTGATAAATCAGTTTATTATTTTAACCGAACCAGGATCATCACTGAGTGTTCTTCTGTGACTTGGGCACTACGATGTTATTCATACAAAAGTAACACACACATATAAACACAGAAAGTCTATTTTAAATGCCTCTAAAGATTGTTTATTTAGAATAAAAGATGTATTTTTATGTAGGGTTACTGGAGCAAATCCTGTTCTAATCTGACCCTTTTTGTAGTACTGATGGTGCCAGCAGGGGTCAGGGTAACAGATAGAAACAGACACAAATGCCAACAAATGTATGTTGAACACTTGATTTATATTGTCAATACTAATGTATAGTGTTATACAGGAATACAAACTAATACAAGAAACACTGAGAACCTTCTGTTGATGTTTTATGTTTAAAAGAACATTTGACCAATAACCATCTACATATATATTTAAGATTTATTTTGGATTAACTGACAAGCTTCTGTAGATCTACTGAGGATCCCCATTATAGCTCTGGTGGGTCCCCAGTAGATGTCTTGATCTGAGTTATCTGCTTCATGGCATGTTCTCCACGTTGACCTTGGACAGGGTGACGTCGCAGTGTATGTTGAGCGTATTGATGGATCTGAGGTTGCTGACCCGGTGATGAAAAGCCAGGACATGAGAGTTGTTCACGGCGACCTTAAACTCTTTGTTGGTGCACAAGATCTTCATCTGCAAAGGAAAATCCACAAAATCATCATCAACTTGCTTTTTTACAGATAAACCCTTAAACCCCACTTTACTGTGTATTTGGTCCGACAGCTCATCTGTCGACACTCGGAGCTCTAATACTAAACATCAGTACCTAAAAGGAAGGTCATTTCGACTGTTTATCAGCCTATCAAAATAGAAAATCTAGAGGCTTGAAAACAACATTGTTTCTGACCCCAACCATGTCCTTAACATCCAATAGGAATTGTTGCCGTCAAATCTGAAATACAGGGTAGCATGATTTAAAATGTAAAGTAAATCCCAGTTCAAATGAACAATTAAAAGTATTGAAAATCTTGTACTCAGTGATTTTAATGTTATGTTAAATGTCTGTTTTCTTGTTTCTTGTCTTATCCATTTGTCCTTGTTGATATTGCAAATGGAGCTGCTGTTATGAAAGAAAAGTTTCTAACTTATTGTAACTATTGTAGTTGCAAGTAGCGAACTACTCCCAAAAATATCCCGGCAGCCGTAACCACACAAGTTTCATGAGGTGAAAAACGGTCGTACCTAACGTTTGTGAATGCTATTAAAAACAAGTACCAATACTACAAGTGTTGTTAGTATAAATTAAATATTGGACCTCGAATGGCTTCCCTTGTTGGAAGGGGAAGTTCTGCAGATCTCTCTCCTCTTTCCCCCAATTCTTGCTGATGCAGCTGTTTCTGACGATCACCTTCTTGCCGCCCTCATTGAAGCGAGGGTTGAAGTGGAAGGCCAGATCGGTGGGTGTTTTTAAATCAACTGTGAACCTGGAAAACAACAGAGACCATCAACTCAAAATCTTTAAACGTATTGCAGTGTTATACAGTGAAGTCATGTATCCATCCATTCGTTGTTCATTTTAAAGAGTTGATACTGACTTGTCAGCATTTGATTTGATGGTTCCAGCGATGGTGATGAGCATTTTGTCATGAACTCCACCGGGCAGAGTCATGCTGTATGGAACCTTCTGTAAACAGGAAACAGATTTAATTTCCATGAACAATGGATTATCCATCCATCAACTATTCATTCATCCAAGAATCCCCACAAATTCATCAATAACAATCCATGGGTTAATCGATTTATTGATTCAACCATCCATCCATCATTTATTCCTCCGACAATCCATCAAAAATAATCTGATAACCATCCATTATCCTTTCACCCATCCAACAACAGTCCATCTATCCATCCGTCTGTCCATCAGTTCACCAAACCACCCAAAATCCCTTCAATGTATCCATCCAATAATCCCCCCCAATTATCCATCTATCCTTCAATACTTCATCCAACTGTCCATTCATCCATCAAACATTCAGCAAAATCCATCCATCCAATAATCTCTCCAATTTACCCATTCATCAATTTTACATCCAGCCAACCATCCAACAACAATCCACCCAAATATTCGGACATCAATCCATCCGTCCAATCATCCCCCCAGTTATCCATCCAATCCTTCCATCCTTCATCTATACGTCCATTCATCCATCAAACAACAATCCATTGAACAACAATCCACCCAATCATTTGACAATCATCCATCAATAAAAAAATCCTTCCAATTCATCTAATTAAAGTACGTTTTGAACATTAAGCCATGTAAACATGTCACAGGATGTTCATCCATCCATCTATCCAATAATCCCTCTAATTTAGCCATCCATCCATCCATCTATCCAATAATCCCTCTAATTCATCCATCCATCATCAATCTATCCACCCATCCAATTCATCAATTTATCCACCCAAGTAATCGGTAATCAATCCGTCATCAAATAATCCCTCAAATTTACCCAGCCAACCATCATCCATCCAGCCAACCATCCAACAACAATCCATCCAAATATTCGGATATCCATCCATCCATCCATCCACTAAAGTAATCGGTAATCGATCCATCCGTCCAATAATCCCCCCAGTTATCCATCCAATCCTTCCATCTTTCATCAATACGTCCATTCATCCATCAAAACATCGATCCATCCAATCAAAAATGTCTTCCAATTCATCCATCGTTGTTCATCCATCCATCCATCCAACAATCCCTCAGGCTCCATCCATCCACTCCCCACAATTGTTCCATGATTAATCTCTTGTTCTGTCTCACCAGACTCTGTTGGGGGGCATAGCCAGGTCCAGGTCCAGGTCCAGGTCCAGGTGAAGGAGACGGCCAGCCAGGTTGGCTTGGCTGGCTGGGCATTTGACCTCCAGGTTGGGGTCCAGGCCAGGCACCTCCACCCCCAGGTTGACCTCCAGGTTGGGGTCCAGGCCAGGCACCTCCACCACCAGGTTGACCTCCAGGTTGGGGTCCAGGCCAGGCACCTCCACCTGCAGCGGGAGCGGGACCTGCAGGCCAGCCACCTGCAGCGGGAGCGGGACCTGCAGGCCAGGCACCTCCACCTGCAGCGGGACCTGCAGGCCAGGCACCTCCACCTGCAGCTGGTGCGGGACCTCCAGGCCAGGCACCTCCGGCTCCTCCTCCACCTGCAGCTGCAGGCCAGATGTGGTTGGGAGTAAGTTGACTTGAATGTGGTTTACACTGTTTTTAATTGCAGACTTCTCTGTTTTTATTAATCTGTTTTGTTGGATTGGATTTTTGGATTTTGGCGACTCCTGGTGGTTGGATTAAAACAATTTATTACACGGCTAAATCGTATACTTCCGCTTCCGATTGGTCACTTCAGAACATGTGACACGTTGTTAATACCGTAGTACAGACCGCTGTCAAGGACTATTTTGACCGTTGCTAAGGAGGATCAAGAAAGAGAAAGGGAAAAGGTAAGGGCTCTGCAGAGGTTAAGGACGTTTTAGTGGATCAGAAACTGTAAACAGATTTGGACAGTGCTGCCGTAAAGTTGTTGTTGTTGCAGTTCCAGCCATCGGTGCGCACCGGAACAGGGTTTTTATTTTCTTAGCGGAAGAAATACGATGATTTATAACTCAATAACATCATTACAATTAATATTGGGAGTCGAGCCGATAGTTTGTTTAGTATTTGGTCGTGTAATAAGCGGGATAATGTGCAGCGACTTGGTCAATATGGGGAAAAAAACACCCCTCGCTGCACATTATCTCTTACATCAACACTCATTGATATACTCTTTTTTTTTTTTACATCCATCTGAACTAGAGACAGGGGTAATATGCTGGGGAAAAACTCTAGGATTAAAGTTGTAAAAAGAGGAAGGAATTCAGTCTATGCAAGCGGAGATATTTGAAATTGAGCGAGTAATTAGCATGATTCTGTGTCCCCAAGAATCTGAAATGTTGGACAAAGTCTTTGTACTGTTATGTAAATTAATCGAAAACTAATTTGCTGGTTGGATGCAAATTGTATTTCGTTGTACTCTGTGCAATGACAATAAAGTTGAATATAATCGAATCGAATCTATTGCGAATTCAATACAATTCAATAAAAGGACGATTAATGGCGCAGCCCTCAATCACATAACACTGTTCCACACAGGGGCTTCATACCATTAATAATATTGAAAAATAAGTATGTAAGTATGTGTAATGATGATGGCATTCTTACCTGGCCAGGAGGGATTGGTGGGCGGGTTGTTGCCCCCACCAGCGGGCCAATCACCGAGGGCGTCTCCCAGCTGCAGAGATAGAAAAAGGAAATCACGGGATGTCTACGTTTGAAACTGACCCAACTATTACCATATCATTATCCCAATTATTTTGCAGTTAAACATAGTAAAAACAACAAACAGAACCATAACATCCAGCTGTCTTTAAAGAGCCGTATTTCCCATCACCAACAAACACATAAAAACAAATGTTTTAGAGCTGCACGTGAACGCAGCACAGTGTGTTTCAGTGTGTGTGCAGACTTCAGGGTGTGTGCAGACTTCAGGGTGTGTTGGTGACAGACTCATCAGGAATGTTCCGTATGTAGGTGTTGGTTTAAGAGATGAATGCCTCCCTATTTAAATTCTTACCCCCTTCAACCCCAAACACATACACACACACACTAGGCAAACACAAGCGACAGTGTCTGTACTGGGTCAGTTTCATAGTATACAGTAGAACTATGATCTTAGCTAACTGAAAAAGGTCATTGCTGTTAAAGCTAGGGTTGGTCAAAAATGTTTTATATTTCTTGAAATTATCCTTAATAAATCAAATGCTCTGACAAATAATTAGGTATATGTGGGTATCATTGTTGTAGGACTGCAAAAGAGTGGTAGCCTACAGGAATTACTCATAAAACCCAGAAATTAGTCAACATTTTACCACTTCCTGTTCCCTCGTCTTGAAGTCAATGCCTTTTTTAATGGATTTTTGGTTGCCTGAAATAAAGTCTGTGATCAACACAAGCTAAAGAATTTTTTTACATTTTGTTCTACAACGTACAATACGTCAGTTAATACCCACTGGTGAATGTCTGAAGCTTCTACGTGTCTAAAAAGCAGCGGTTGCGAACATTAGCTGCCTTTAGCTTAGCGGTGGTGACGTGAAGTCATGTGACCGTGCTGTAGTTCCTTTATAGCCCAACATTAGCCACCTTTAGCGTAGCGGTGGTGACGTGAAGTCATGTGACCGTGCTGTAGTTCCTTTATAGCCCAACATTAGCCACCTTTAGCTTAGCGGTGGTGAAGTGAAGTCATGTGACCGTGCTGTAGTTCCTTTATAGCCCAACATTAGCCACCTTTAGCTTAGCGGTGGTGACGTGAAGTCATGTGACCGTGCTGTAGTTCCTTTATAGCCCAACATTAGCCACCTTTAGCTTAGCGGTGGTGATGTGAAGTAATGTGACCGTGCTGTAGTTCCTTTATAGCCCAACATTAGCCGCCTTTAGCTTAGCGGTGGTGATGTGATCGTGCTGTAGTTCCTTTATAGTAATATATAGGGCAATTTCGAAATCCAATGGAAAAATCCCATTGGCTTTTTGTGGAGGGAGTCCTTGTGATGCTAACTTCAGTGCACTACTCTATTAGCCAACCTGCCTTTGTTGCAATCGTTGCACGTCATTAGAAACCTCGACAAGCTGATCGACAGCTGAACCAACAACAGCAATGCTCATTGTTTAGGCTCATAATAACAATTTAAGGGGAGTGACTGTCACAGAAGGCCTAAAGGGAAAAGTTAAAGGGCTAATTTCTGGCTAGGATTAGCAACAGTTTGACCTAATTTAAGTCGGGTAATGATTTTCTACACAGTGATATTAAACATTAACTTAATTTTGCAATAAAACCTGCCCTTTCTTTACTTTAGGGATGTAATGTGCTTTATTTTAGTCTGGTTTAGACATCTAAATGAACACATGTGACACAGCGGTAAACATTAAATCACATTTAGGATTCAGGTGAGGGATGAAACTCAGACTTACATTCATGTTGCTCGACTGTGATCTGAAACACAAAGAAACATTTGAAAATGACAGGAAAAGAAAACAATGTCTGAGGGTGTGGTGGGCGAGTCCCAACATGGAGAAACCTGAAACTCATCTTCCTCCTCTTCCTCCTACTGTGTGAAGGAGTTTAAGAAAATACATATTCCTAACATGTCAAATACTAAACTCTTTAATGAGTTCTGCTTTATTTGTAGTACAAACCTCTGACAGTATTAAAGATTAGCCTTTAGCTTTCTTACTCGTATTTCAGCTTGACGCTTGACTATAAAATGCAATATTTCCTGTTTTACACAAAACAACCTTTGCACTTAAAATTCCTGTATTTTCTGAAATTTCACAGACTCTCATGTGGCAATTCTTCTTTGTAAAACTAGTGTTTTAATTATTTAACTGCTGCATAACTAATCTGACTTAAATCATTTCAATAAATAATAATAATACAAATTATAATGACGTAAACTTAAAAAATAAAAAGTAAAAAAATACATACATAATAATAACAATGATAAGCAAATAAATAAACATTAAATTATAAATTATACATAATCCTCAATAATATTAAATAGATAATAGCTCAAAATTAGCTGCACCTCAACCAACTAAAATCCTGCTTTGTAATAATAATTTAATAAACGTATTTATCAATGATATAATATAATATAGCTTAACAGCAAAAGGGGATGCTTTTTTTTTTTTACTGATTATACTTTGGCTACCTACTTTTACTTGTCAAAGTGTTTCCACAGTGTGGTAGTAGGTCTACTTTTAATTCAGTAAAGAATCTGACGCTCTGGTTTCTGTGGTGTTGGAGGTGGAGTCACACACACACGCGAACGCGCACACGCACACACACAGACCACACGACACGCGATCCACAGAGCAGCGTTTACTGTTTGCTTCCTCTAAATGTCAGCAGACTCTCTCATCAGTAATTGTTTTTGCATTAACTGTATTTAATTTGCGGTACATTACTCTAGTATTTTCATGTTGCTGTTACTTGTACACTAAACTGCAGCATTGATATGCATCACATCAATCAATATTAAAAAAAATCATGATATAAGAAAAACAACCCGTATATAATAGCAAAACACAAAAACTGAATATTTGGCTGAACATTGAAATACATCTACTTTAGGTAGGCTACTTGAAGTACATTTTGCTGATAATACTCAAATACTTTGACTTCATTTAGGTTTTAAAATCAGTTAACTTTAAGCTGTTGACTTCTACCGATGGGCCGATAACTCACCAGCACCCCCCCCTGACATTAACTAGTGGTACGGACGTGGGCCGGTAGGTTAAGGCAACAATTCTCTTTTTAAACTCA